ACATTCATCTCAATAACATCAATCACTTTACTTTCATTCAACATCAACATCAACCATTCATGTAATCCAATCAATCCCTATTATAATATAAAGACTTGTGCAAAAGAATGTACTTAACTTTACATGCATATGATACTAATATCCTCATTGTCACAAACTCAAGGTAGCTTAGGAGCCATGAAATAAAATCACCACACACTAGGTGACCCTTTCAATTAATGCACTCTCAACTAAAGGATATCTAATAGGATCCAGTCAAAGCGTTATAGTCAGTCATGATTTGCTCACATCCTTGTTAAAGGCTCACTACTATAACACCCTAAGGTCTAATAGATGACCATAGAGACCCTCCAACATAGATTCACACTACCTTGTAAACAAAGAATGAATGCACAGACTCTACACACCACAATACCACACCACGATAAATGTAATGTCCACTTGGTGATTTTGCCAAACTAAGGAGTCTAGACTTCTCCATAACATACCAAGCCCTACTTGGATCTAATCATTTCCAGCCGTGTAACACTACATGCTTTATATGCCTTATTATTTAATAATATGATATGTGATATTTTAAATGTTGAATTATTGTATTTGTTGTTATTCTTAAAACTTTAAGGATCAAGGGATCCTTGAAAGTTTAGTTGATGGAAATCACTTGTAGGAGTGATTGTTGAACTCTTCCAAGTGCCATTCTCATGTCCACATCTTCTCTTAAGGTTGAAAATGGATTTGGAAGCAAGGTTCCAAGCTTCAAAAACTTGGAGAAGAAGCAACAATAGCGCGGTCTCCTTCTTGAAGAAGAAGAAGAATTAGGGAACCAAGGCACAAAGGAAGGATTCCTTTGTGAAGATTCTTAAGAGGAGAGTGTTCTCCACGGTTTAGGGCCTCTTGAGAGAGAGAGAGAAATTCTGAAAATTCTATCTCATATATGTCAAAAGTGAATACAAAGGTTAGGGAAAGGAAAGATTTATATAACGTATGGAAACTTGTGGAGCAAGTTAGGCTAACTATGGTTCAAGAGAACCATGGTTAGGTTAACTTGACCGTCCACCATGGTTTGGGAGGCTTGTGGGGCAAGCTTTTAAGTTAGAAGCTTGTAGCACAAGCTTCCCAAGTGTGCAAGGCAAGCTACTAATTCGGCCAAAGGAGAAGCATGGGTGGCCTAGGCTTGTTTCCAACAAGTTCTCCAATCCAAAAATCTTGGAATTGGTTTAGTTAGGTTCACCAAATGGTGGTGAGACCTAGCTAAATCAATTCCTTGGAAAATATGGAGAAACACAAGCCCAATATGTAAAATTTGGCCTAGGCCCAATTACTAGTTGCACTTACACACATTACTATTTGTCACCCCACTTCTACACAAAAATGGATGACTCTTAATACAAGGTCAAATGGAGGAAAAGTCTCCAAGTAATATATCCTAAAATCTAAAAGGAATATCCTATAATAAAAGAAAGAAAGTGTCCCACAAATACAAAGGCAAAATAAACCTATACAATGAACTACTATATACAATCATACGAAAGATCTTCAAAATTAACCGATTCCTCTTGGGTTCTTTAAAGTATCACCTTTTGGTCTTTTTGGCCTTGGCATGATTCCATCATTAGTTGTTTTTGAGTTGTTTTGAGTCAGGGTCAAGTTAACCAAGTTTAAGGGAAAATATTTATGATTTTTCTTAAGAAGTGAACTTCATAAGTTCAAATCTTAAGAAAAGTTAGAGAGTGGCTTTGGAGCCAAAAAAATTATTTTCTCCATCTGATTTTGCAAGGGCATTCCAAATCCCCACTTACTGGATTCCTAGTGGTAGATTGGTGGATTCAAACTTGTGAGCTGAGAATCAAGGTCATGGTTGGTCGTACAACAAGCTTTTAGGAAAGCTTTCATTCTTCGTTGTTCTCCCTCCAATCTTCTCACTTTGAATGATTTGAGGTAAGAGAAGCTTGTTGGTTGATATTGTTGAAGTATAATTGTTGAATTTTGCCTAGAATTATTCATTATGATGGCTAAACTTGGATGAATAATGAGAAGAGAGCTTTTTGTTCCAAGTGTTAATTTGAAGGTGTTATGAAGAGAATTTGGTGATCTTTGAATTTGATGGTTACATGTTGCTCTTTTCACTCAAACTCACTTTTTTATAGTGTATATATATTGAATGAAAAATGGTAGCATGTTGGTTTGGTATGAGATTTTTGTAGGTTTGAGCCAAAACTGTGATCCTGCTATATGTGGAATCTCCTTGATGTTAGTTGTGCCTTCATGGCAATGAGCTTGATGTAGGTTAGAGGTTGTCTACCTTACTTGCACTAGGCACAGGATAGGCAACATCGAGCGTGAGTTAGTTAAAAGCTCGCTGACTTTGTTACATCAGGCATGGAATGAGATGTGTCAAGCTTGATTACTCAAGAAGCTTTCTAAGTTGGTGACATTGGGAATTGGATTAGTTCCATTAGGCATAAACCAGTCAATAGCTTTTTTCCTGAATGACATTGGACACGAGTCAAGTGGAGACTCTCTACCTGAATAAAATTAGAAATAAGATCAGTAACATTAGGTGTGGAGTACATAGAGACTCCCTGTCTCATTCTAGCTAGGAGGAGGAGAAGGAAGAGGAGGAGAAGAAGAAAAGGAAGATGAGGAGGAGAGGGATGTGTATATATTACGAGTCAATTATTTACTTACAAAATCAATATTTAAAATTCAAAATTTAAAATCATGAAAAATTGGAGGAAGAAAATGCATGTGAAAGGGTTGAGTGTTTAAAAAAAAAAAATGACCATTGAAAGTAATGAGGCACGAAGGATGTACATATAAAATGGGGGTGAGTACTTGAAAAATAAAATTAAACAATAATGGTAAGTGGAAAGGGATTTGTAAAATTGAGAAATTAAAAAAATCAATAATATTAAAGATAATTTAGAGAAAAAAGTATAATGAAAGTATGTTATTAATATAGGGAGGTGTATATACCATAAGACAAAAAAAAAATCCAAGGAAGGTTACAAATCCAAATTAATCTAAAAGTCGATGAATCTGAACTGATTTAAATTAAAAAATTTAAATTAATTTTAATCATTGATTCATGTTGAAAATATACAAATTTAATAAGTTTGGATTGGTTTATATATTTTTCCCGTTGAAAATTCAGTCTAATTCAAATTCAACGGATCAATTATTATATATTATTGATTTTTATAAAAATATAAAATTTTCATTAAAAATAAGGTTTAGAGTTTGGAATTTTTTTTATCAAATTTTCCATTTGCTTTTAATATTATAACATTTTAATTAACATTTCACAGTAGACACATACTTTTATAGCTCTATACTTTTATTTCTCTTCCAATTCGTTTTGCTTGAAGTTTAACTATAAATTTGCTATAGCAATTCAATCTGCACAAGAATGAATATAACTCTAATTTAATTTTTTCTTCTTCTAACTTTTGAGTTTTTTTTTTTTTTTTTTTTTGTTTAA